CTTTTCAATGGAACCAAGTTTCGTCTTCATAGCGTTAGTCAAGAAGAAGGGAAGCCAGTCACTTTGTTTTTAGGTCAAACTTGTTATAAAGATTATGTTTGCACAAATATGAACAATGATCATTGGCGATTTTTACGTGACTATGGCAAGCGTGAATACGCTAATGAACACGCGTGTTTTTCTGATGCCTTGGGTGTTGGCTCTGTTGTTGAAACAAGTGACAACAAATTGGTTTTTATCAGAAGAAGCCATCAAGTTTATGAAGATCCAGGTCGTGTGGATACTCCAGGAGGACATGCAGAACCAAGTGTAAGTTCTTGATCCCAAGAATAATACAAGGTGTTAAAATATGGTATCACATTACACAAGTGGTTGTCTGGGTCTAATACTATCAAAACAATAAAATTATCAAAACAGTAAAAAACTAGCCTTCTGCATTTCTAGCAAGTTTTATCATAATCTTGAAACTGATCCTTTAGCTGAGTAGTACATTATACTAATAGGCCCTTTGCAGCTGGCGTCACATGACCAAATTTTTCCTGGAAAATTTTTATATTATGGGCTATAACTTAAAGAATGCCAGAAATGGAAAGAGTGCATTGAAAATATCAAAATGGCCAAGTTTGAGGCCCCTGGAATTAAAGAGTAAGTTTATATGACAGTTTGAATTTTTGGAAAATTTAGAGGATTTGTATGTAAAATGTTACAGGAGAGCAAGGTCTTGCTCTCCAGCAAGTTTTTCCATACAAATCTTCTTATTCTTTTAAAAATTCAGACCATCATAAAATCTCCTTCTTTAATGATGGGGGCCTCAACCTTGGCCATTTTGATATTTTCGACGTGCTTTTTCCATTTCTGGCATTGGTTAAGTTATAGCCCATAATTTTATGAAAAATAGGTCGCATGATGGCTTAGCTGCAAAGGACCTATTGCAACAGTTCAGTTCCAGATCCAGACCTCTCCATATGGTAGGAGCCCCCAAATTTTTCTTTGATTAAGGTATGTGCTGAAGCATGAGCAGTGGCGAAGCCACTAGAGATGAGTCTGCGATTGAAACAAGGAGGTGAGGAGCCAGGCACGAGAAATGAAAGTCTCTCATTTTCACCGCCTTGCTTCAGTCACTGGCTTCGCCATGACTGCTCATGTCACAGCACATGATGCCTTGCTCACACAGGCTACACTTTTACTCAGCAGTTTTTGCAAGGAACATTATAAACTTAGATTACCAAGAGTACAATATCTGCTAATTTTAATAACAATGTGTGTTTAAATTACTCTTGGATCACTTCTTTATTTTCAGGAAGTGAAACAGACAAGTGAGCAGCTTAATGGTAAAAAACTGGTTGATCTAGAAGAAATGGATGAAAAAGCAGTAACATATGAGTTGTTTCACTCTATTGTGAGAGAAGTTAGAGATGAGGTAGGTTTGATATAAGGTAATCTTTAATCCAAGTCCTTTTGTCCCAATTTAAAGTTAGCATCAAATTCTGCTACCTTCTTTTAAAGTGTGTCGGACAGTATTGTACATCAGGATCAAAGATTATTGATGACTGGAAAAAACCTGTGTCTAACAGAAAAACTGAAACAGACAAGTGAGCAGCTTAATGGTAAAAAACTGGTTGATCTAGAAGAAATGGATGAAAAAGCAGTAACATATGAGTTTCTCCATGGACAAATCTGTGCTTTTAAGTAAAAGATCTGAACTTGTAACAAAATGCAGGCATGAGAACAAGTTCCATGCAGCCAATCAAATTTAAAACAGGATTGCTCCACACGCCAATTGCAGGCCTGCAAAAGCAAGGCAGAAAGCTGTATGATTAACAACTTATTAACCTTGATTGTTCAGTCTTTACAGGAAAATCTTTAGACCTTGCTATGGTGGTTAATTTTTCCTTCTCTTCAAGCTGAATTAAAGTCTCTTTAGAAAGGCTGCAATATCTTTCCCACAGCACTGCACACCTTGGCCAGGATTTTTAATTGGAATTTACACTTCATATGTTAGGTAAATATTCCAGAAGAATACCTCAACTGGCCATTGTTAATTGGAATACAACGGAATCACACAACTGGGCAGAGACCAGGGGCATGTTTCAGAATCAGGTTTGTGTTGACTCAAAACTGTAACAAAAACTGTAAGTGTTAAAGGAATACTATCACAGCAATTTGGCATCCCAACTGTGTGCATGCATGACCTGTTTAATGTCACGTTTTATTAACTTCAGTGTACATACTGTATATTAGTAATTTTTAACAAAACTAATCCATTATTGATATTTAGACGTCAACGTTGAAAAGTCATGCTGATAATATGATAATCCTTTATATCTTGTTTAACCAAGGTGCTCTTTAAGTGGTGAGGAAATCAAACAGCTGTATGACAAGGGAGGGCCAGAAGCTTATGAGTCATCGGAGCTGCTTTTGGTTGACCTAGCAGTAAGTTTGTGATATTTCTCCTTTCACCACAATGTGCACGCTGACTTTGTTAAGATCCCTTGTGTAAAGATGTAGTTGTGTCACRTTCCCTACTCTTCTGTCAGTTGTTGYTGTAGTTGTCATGTATATGGGGTCATATGAGCAAGGAATAYTTCATKAACAACACCAAATGATGCCCTGTAGAAGGCTACTCTGACCATAGTAATGCAGAAACAATTTAAAGCTGCAGTGTTGCAGCATGTTTTTTCCCCATTACAATGTTATTTCAGTTAATTCACATGTAAATGCATCTAAATAGTGCACATTTTGCAGTTTTTGTGAAGATGAGCTCCCCAAACTGACTATCAGTCAACTGTCGGCCAAGAGAGTACTGACAGGTTACCAACAGGTTACTGAGAGGCTTCTGACAGGTTACCATAAGTTTTCTTAAACAGAAAGCTAGCTGCAGAAGAGACGACCAACAGATGGCCGACAGGTTTTTTGGGGAGCTGTTCTTCACAGTTACACATTTTTCCAAGAGATGATGTTTTTTTCCTTTTAACTCTTTAGGAATTCCAGAGGGGCACTTCTTCCTCTGAGGTGAAGAAGCTGTTTAAGGATCTCACCCCAGGATGCAAAGCATGTCTCTATTTTTACTTTAATTTACAGACTAGCACGTGTGCATAGTTGAGAGCATAATCCTCATGTCGTAAGTGAAGTAGTTCTGCATCAGAGTTAATAAAATTTTTTATGCCAAAAAAATTATGTAGAGAAACGAACAGTAGATTTTA